CGCCATGAAGAGCTGTTATTGGAGACAGCCGCAGCATTGAAGAGTGGCATATCCAACAAGATTTTATCTACTACCTTATACATTTTCTGCCTTACACTGTTTGAGGAGAATTAGTAATCCAAGGATTGTTGCATTGCAACATTCATTCCAGGCAGCAGAAGCAATGGGAGAAGTATTTTTCTTGTCACCGAGGTTTCTACCTGTTGCTTCGAGCACATCTCTGAGGCTTTAGAAAAGCATTACGCGAATTTTGCTTAGCCTCCAAACAGGCGGCAACATTAATTTTGAAATTTAGGGTTTATGAGCCCTAGCAATGGAGGAAGAGTGGCGAGGCCGCCCTCGTCTTCGGTTGCGTGACCTGGAGCGCTTCACGGGTCCCTTCACAGTTGCCGCAGATCCAGGTAGTGATGCGCCCGCATTCGGAGTTTCCAAGCGCCAGAAGGTACAAGTAGAGGAATCTAGAGGGGGTCTGCTGCTGGCTTCAAGGGTTCCGTGGGTAATCGTAGGCAAGATCCAGCTCTGGAACGAGGGGTTTTGCTGCCACTCCTCGTCTGGGCATTCTGGCGATAGCTTCGCCCTTGCAGATGATACAGGTGTGGGGTGTTGCTTGCTAAGGAACGTGGATCAGTGTCCTCTGGGTTCCAAAGTGGTGATCACGTCTTTCAACTACATTCCCTCTATCCGAAAGCTCAAGCCTGAGAAAGCAAGGGAGGATTGTCTCTCCGTTTGTCTGGAGGTCCATGAGCTTCATGTCGTGCAAGATGGATCGATACTTCAGGTTTTTCCACGGTTGTGTCTCAGTCCAGCGTCGGCCGACGTGAAGAATGAGATGCTGGAGACGCCACCTCTGAAACGAAGTGGTGGAAAGGCTCGGCTCACGCTGCGGGGATGCTTGCATTGTTTTAGCCCATCCTTCGCTCTTCCCTGCACAGGCTCAACGTTTTCCATGGCGAAGAGCTTGTTCGCTGGGGGTGAAAAGGGCGATGGACAGGTCCTTAAAGGCTTTCTTGTGGAGCTAAGGAACTGTAGTCATCAGCGTCTACGCTCGAAGAAAGATGCGGAAGAAGATGGTCAGCTGGTTCGGGTTTTCTTCTCGGGGGCTTTGTCTGCCTGGCGTCCTGTTCTACTGGATTGCGTCGGCAGCTGGATTTGCATCACCGGTCTAAGAAAGAAAATGATCAGCGTTGGACCGAAAGACTTGCACCTGATTTTGGCGGCCACAAGGACTACTTTCGTCAGCCGAACACCGGATGAACTTGAGCGTCCGAGAAGCTTGCGGAGTGATCTGGTTCGGGACAAGAAAACTTTTGGCTCCTACGTTGGTGTAGTTACTGGGGTACAATTCGAAGGAAGGATGGTGGAGCTGGATGAGAACGTTTGCTTGCTACTGACTCACCAGGAGCATACTTTTCTGCATGGTCTTCGCGTTGGAGCAACGGTAAAAACATTTCCGTTTCTTCTTTACGGTTTTTTCCTGACTATCCATGGCTTACAGATACTCGCTCTTAATGTACATATCGCTGCTGTAGGCTGGGGTTGGAGAAAGTACCTATTGCTGGGTGCTTGTTTTCGTTCTACTGTAAAAATTGTTTGTTTTTCTTCGTTAGATACAGTGTAAGTTCTTACGGTCCTTCTAAACTTTGTGTTATCTTCTCTATGTTCAGCATTTCAGTGCCTGTGAGAACCGCGTGCCTAAGTAAATTTCAGCACTTATCTTTTACCGAGACATTTGGGTAAGCTTTCCGTTTCCATTCTCACGAAAAAAAAAATGCGAAGACTTTCTTGAGCAGGTTACTTCGAGCAGTTTTAGATTTGAGAAAGAAGCTGGGCAGTGGACCGGATGTTTTCGATTGCATTCAAACGACGTCGACGCGTGTTTCTCGGGTATGTACTAATGCAAAGGTCCATGAATTTTAGCTTCCACGTTCAGGATGGTTTGAAGGAGTTTATGTCTCACGAGCAATCTTGCTTCCTTGGACAAAGGGGAAATATTAAGTCGTCTTTGCAGGTTTCTCTCTTTCCATTTTGAAGCTTCAAACTCCAGGCATCCTGTATCGGCAGAGAATTCCACCCTTTTTGGAACTCAAAGAATATCTTCAGCAACTCTGGGAGGACTCTAGTTCATTTATCTGGCAGCAAAAACAGCACAGCAACCGTTTCAATCGTTGCATTATTTCCAGTGACGACTTGAATTTTGTTGTTTTGGGCCGCCTCGAGGTATGCATGCTTCATAAGTTTTGGAAAATAACAAGGCGCTGACAGGTCTCTAAAACCTCGGGGGCCCTTCAGTTTTTTGATGCGACGCACGAGATACATGTCGTAATTCCGGACCTCCATTGCTCATCGATGCTATATCAAGTTTACAAGGTTTTGCGCCTTTTATTCTTCTTTGTTCGTGAGTAGTCTTTCTTTCAGGTGTCCAAATTTGATTTAGTGATGGAAGGAACGCCTGGGAGCTGCCATTTTTATTTTGTATTCAGCTCCAAAGATGCTTATCGCTGTTCAGCTTTGGGATGCGAAATACCGAAGTCCAGTCCACACTGGATTTCTAGCTTGCCTAACTTACCGCCGTCACCATCGTCTACAATAAGCTTTCGCGCGAGGGTAAGTTTTGTTTACATACAACATTGTTCATACACTGAAATGCGAGCTTGTACAGGTTGTTGCCGTATCAAAACTCGTGCTCGTCTGGAATAAATGGTTAGGCTACACTCCTGCCAAAAGTCTCGTGTCCAACATCAATGTCTCTTTTGGTTGTTTCGTCATTGGTAAGCGATTGCTCCACTTGTACCAACCTGTGCCTCCAAACTTTATATCCAGATGATGGCTCTGGCGTAACCGAGTGCTCGGCTCACGGAGTGCTTGCTGATCACCTCTTGGGACTGAAATTTGATCGGGACCAATGCGTTACAAGGCACACGAACGCCTTGTGTGCCATTCTTCGCAACTATGAGCGCATTGTCTACGAAAGAGACCAGAGGAAAGACTTCTCGCAAAGTTATCGAGTTCTAGGCGATGGAAGTACACCTCTAAGCGAGAGCGACCATGCGGTCATCGACATGTTTGCAACTAGAGCCTGTCATCGTCCTCCTATGGTAAATAATTTGTATACACTTCAAAGGCAGCTTGTATTGACGAGGAGCTTTTTCTTGCTACTTGCAGTCTCTGGTTTGCGAGATTTGTCCTAGAGAATTTGACAACAAAGCTCGCGTGCTTGTGAGATCAGTAGAAGAGATATCATACGTTAGAGAAGCTCACAATCTCAGCAAAGAGATCGAGCTTGCACTCAACAAAAACAAGGTTTTGTAGCTCGTGTTAATCTGTGTAGTTGTCTTCCGCTAGAGTCGCTTGGATGACAGTGTAGTGATGGTTTAAGCTCGGTTGTCTGTGTAGGAAAAACTTCCCACCGAGAGCTCCATTGTCTGGATTTGAGGTTCTAAAGATGACCCTTCGAAATCTCTGATGCACCATAGCCATTGCACACCTGAAGAAGAAAACAAGCTTAGCAAGCAGCAAACAAAGCTCACTTCACGAAAACAACCCTTACATTGCACAGGGCTCCCTCGTCAAGTATATGTCGAATCCCGTGCAGAGGTAAGGCCGAGAAGCCTCGACCGTGATAGAGGAGGACCTCGACTCGATGTGGATGCTCTCGGCAGCGCTGGCTTCGCAGCGTTGTCTCTTGACGGATAGCGTAGCTTCGTCGCATTCTTTATCGTCGGGAAACAAACGTCGATCCCTCTCGGACGCTTGCTCAATGGCGACCATAGCTGCGTGCCGGAGAGGATGCCAGCCTCCACTGCAAGATGAACAATCCGTGCAAGATGGTGGAGTGGATTCATCATAGCCACTAGCAATTACCTGGCCGATGGATGGATCAACTATCACAGCACCATTTGAAAGCTGAGCCAAAATAAATAAATCAAAACACATATAAGTTCTTGGGAGGTTTGCATCAACCAAGGTAACTTACCCGGCCATGGTCGATTGCCAGTGAAGCTTGATGCATCGCTCTCACCATGAATGCAGCTATCGTTCTCTCTTCGTCTTCGTTAAACTGGATTTTCGAAGGCCTTGCACTTCGAAGGAAAAACAAAGCTGAGATCACAGCTAGTGGTTTCGCTCACACTTACCTGTTGGGGTGGAACGTTGTCGGCCAGAGATTGCATTGGGTAGCCCATTCTTCCCTGTCTGCAGCCGGATGCTTAGGAATCTACAAGGAGAAGTAAGTCACTAGAGTGAAGAACTGATAGAACGTCCTAAACTACAGACCTTGGCAATGAAAGTTTCCAAGCTGTGCTTCTCAACCAGCTCGGCTACTTGCGATGGAATCGTGCTTGAATCATCGGTTCGTGTGCACAGAATGATCGAAAGGGGACCTGCGTTTGAATCATCTTATACTACCTTCTAAGAAAATGGAGTCACGCACCTTCTGTATCGCGCTTCGATCGAATTCGTTTTATATGGCTCAAGTCAGTGAGAGGAAACACGACACTAAGCTCCCTAAAAAAAACAACGTAAGATTCTACCTTTCACGATGAGAAAAGAACAAAGAAAACACTCACTTTATAAGAACACTCGCAAGCTTTCCTTGAATGTGCGCAGCAAAAACATCCACTGCGTCGATATGTTCAGAGACCAAACAATCACACTCTGTCCCATACCTGTTGCCGATGAATCGACCTCCTCGTGGCCAGGAATGTGGACGATCGACCAGCGCTGTCGATCCATCTGCCAGGAATTTGTGGGAGCAAGTCTAAGCCGCCTGGCAAATCGCTCATACCAGCAGCTTTCGCCCTTTCTCCCAGATCGCTGTGGGAAATGCCGATCCGGAGCAGCACGCCGACGCTAGCGCCATTGCCGCTCCCACGATTTCCCTCTTCCCAAGAACCCTAAAAGTTAAACCCTCAATAGTGACGTGGCCACGTAGACGTGGCGTCTACGTCACTGGGATACTTTTTGATATATAAAAGCTCCTCCCCAAAGAAGGCTACGCGAAGATGGACAGGGCTGGGGACAAGCTGCTAGTGGATTTCCTCTCTTTCCTCGCCGATTACGTCCCCACATTCCCGGACGAGCTCGTCGATTACTACGCCGCGGCGGCGGGATTCCAGTGCTCGGATGTGGGCGTCAAGAGGCTCCTGTCCGTGGCGGCGCAGAAATTCGTGGCCGAGATCGCCAGCGACGCGATGCAATACTGCAAGATGCGGCAGGGCGTGGGGGGATCGTCGTCGGGGGCCAAGCAGCAGCGCAAGATGGTGCTCAGCCACGACGATCTTGTGAGCGCGCTCAAGGAATACGGTGTGGAGATGCGGCGTCCGGAATATTTCGCGGATACATCCAGTGCTGGCGCCGCCGCTGGCGCCGCTGGGAATCTCGCGCCATCGGCCGCCGCCGCTGCTCCCCCGGATCAATGATCTTCTCTTCCTTTCTAGGGTTTTGCATAGGGTTTAGATAGATTCCTAGGCGGGCGATGGCGCTGTGATTTCGTCCAGGCGGAGAATGCGGTGCCTTGCGGCCCATGGCGGCATCCAGCTCCAGCAGCCACGGCTCGTCTCGATCGGAGGCGGCGTGGGAAGCCTCTCTTCTTGTAGATGGAAGGCGAACAGGTGTCTCCGGGCGAGAAATCTGGAGCTATGGCGCAGCACAGTACGGCATTGGAATGGCAAAACTCGCTGCCAAGCGTTTTGGAGCGCTGATTCTTCTAGTTCCGGCATCAAAAGCGAGAGCGAGAACTTTGGACAACGCAAAAGACCGGTAAGAGTCGTTTAGACAAGAAAAAAAAGTCTCTAAGTTCTTCCATCCACAGGTGTTAGAATGGGTTGTGCCTGCTGTTCTCGCGGCCGCCACCATCGTTTTGGCCTTGCGATCCGGCAGGGCCTTCGCGGCAACGTTTGAGAAGAATGTGGCGAGGGAGGCATCGACAAACCAGCTCGGCATTGCACTGGTGAGTGCTTGGGCTGGATTGATCGCTGGAGGCCTCCACACTCTCACTGGCCCGGACCACTTGGCAGCTCTAGCTCCCCTTTGCATCGGCCGACGATCAAAGCTCGAGAGTGCCGCCGTTGGTGCCGTGTGGGGATGCGGTCACGACGCTGGCCAGGTCCTCTTCGGCTTCTTCTTCCTGCTGCTCAAGGACAGGCTCAAGATCGAGGTGCTCCGGACGTGGGGAGCTCGAGTGGTGGGCTTGACTCTCATCGCGATCGGAGCAGTGGGGATCAAAGAAGCACAGGAATCGCCAGCCGTGGAGGAAGAGGCTGCTGTGACGAAGAAGAAATCGCTGGGCTTTACTTTCGCGACCGGGATCGTCTATGGCTTGCAGCCGGACGCGCTTCTCATGATCCTTCCAGCGCTGGCGATGCCGTCCGGACTGGCCGGGGTCTCCTTCCTCGCGATGTTTCTGGTTGGAACCGTGGCGGCCATGAGCAGCTACACCGTGTTCTTGGGATCTTGCAGCCAGGCGCTTCACGAGAAGATCCCGTGGATCACTCGCAAGCTCTCGTGGGCGTCCTCGATCGTAGCCATCGCGTTTGGCTTCGCTGTTCTAGCGGGAGAAATTTTTGGTCTAAGCTTCTATTAATCGAATATATTGTCTCTAATCCATCTTAAAGAACGTCGCGGGTTCGACTCTCCTAAGTATCGAATCTCCATTGGAGCCACGTGGCAGGCTCGCGCTTTAGCGTTGGAGATAGATTGCTAGCGCGCGAGCTTCATTGGAGCAATGCCCTGCTCCAAATGCCTTGCGTCGGGCACATTGTGGACGCATGGCGAGGGTCTGGTTGCGCCATGGCGGCGACGCCTTGCGGCTCCATCGATTTGCAAGCGGCAGAGAGCTTCGATTCGGATCGTAGATCAGGATGTGAGGCTGCATTCCAGGGTTTCCGACAGGATGCCGCCAGATTTGGCAGGGTCGATCGGCTTCTCGTCGGATTTCCAGGTAGTGTGTGACATTTTCGAGATGTAGAAGCTCGTTTTCATGGTGATTTTGTCAGCCGAATCGGTTTCCAGCGTTCCCGGGCTCGGATTTCACGAATGTGAGACAGAGAGAAGAAAAGATCAGCAATTTGCGACGCTTGATCCTCCAGGTGGCGACTGTGAGTGGTTTTTTCGCGTTGCAATCACTCACTCAGGCCTGGGCTGGAAGCTCCATGGCCGACGCTCAACAAAGCGCATCATTTTTGGGATTTTTGGGAAGCATTGACGAGATTAAAAGCGGTTTTACATTGGTACGTAGAGAATTTTCTTTCATGGAGGAACGATCTTTTGAAAGTTTTGCAGGCGTTTCTTCTAATATTTTTCTCGGAGTTGGGAGACAAAACATTCTTTATTGCGGTAATCTCCTCCAATCTCGAGTTTCCATGAATTGTTTTTATGCAGGCAATCCTGGCGAGCAGGAGATCCAATGTTGCTGTTTTTACTGGAACATTTGGAGCTCTTGTGTAAGCTATAGCTATAGTTCATATGATATCGTTGCTTGAAGATACGTTGTGCCTTCTTTCATGCAGAGCCATGACATTGATATCTGTGGTTTTAGGACGGGCATTTCATTATATAGACGGTGTTCTACCTTTCAGGTAATCAGAAGAACTAGAATCTCAAACCAATCTCCAGATCTCTTGCAGCTTAGGCAGCAACGAAATACCGCTAGACGACCTTGCCGCTGTTGCTTTGCTGGTAAACATTCCATTTTCGTTTGCGTTTCCTTGTAGTCAAAAGGACTTTCAACTGTAGATTTACTTCGGAGTGTCTACGCTGCTGGACGCTTCTTCTATGGAAGGATCAAAATCACAAGAAGAGCAACAAGAGGTACGTAAAAGCTCATAGAATTCACGTCCGCTATCTCGTGCTTGCTGACCTCTAGGCGGAACTGGCCGTTGCTGGAGTAAACGGTGGCGGCGGCTCGACGAGCAGCGTAGTTATCTCAACATTCGCACTGGTGTTCGTGGCTGAGTGGGGAGACAAGTCGTTCTTCTCGACAATAGGTGAATGGATCAAACTTCCAGTCCTTTGCTTGGTTCAAACCAACATGAAAAAACTTGACGCGAGTTCTTCGTCCATCAGCTCTAGCAGCGGCGTCCTCTCCTGTTGGTGTGGTGGCTGGAGCTATCGCTGGTCATGGCGCTGCTACATTGGTAAGAATCTCGACTCCATGGCTCGAACGAGAGTGTTTTACAAGCTTTCTTCTTTCCAGCTCGCTGTTCTTGGTGGATCGATCATGGGAAACTACATCTCCGAAAAGGTTGGAGCTAAAGCCCAAATCGAGAAAAATAATCTTTCGCATTTTTCATCTTTTCTACAGGCGATTGCGTACATTGGCGGGACGCTATTCCTCGTGTTTGCTGGAGAGACGCTCTTCGAGATCCTCACTGGGTCCAAGTAAAACGTAAATGATTGCACAGAGACAAGGATTTTTACCAGCGTGACCAAGAGTCAAAATGGCTTTGTTCTACCTCCCAGTAGGGTTTTTGGTGGAATGGGAATGGCGCGGGGTAATTCAAAGGGATTTCGGCAGGGATTTTCAATGGTAGCGTAGATTGGATCGAAGCGGCGGAAGCGCGAGATGATGATCGGCTATGCTGACGATAGCCCGATGCTACACGGCATTGAGCTTTCAGGCCCCCTTTCGCAGCCTCCTTCGATCCGAGCTGAGGATCGGAAGAGGGGAAGTTCCAAGCGCGTAGCTCCGGATTGCGTCGCCAAGCACGAGCACTTGATCCAGTCGGGTCCTCTGGGAAAATGCGACAATCCGCTGTGTACGACTTGTCCGGCCTATCTTGACCCCAATTTCCACAAGGAGGAGAAGCGCTCTGTGGTGAGTTTTGAGTGAATTCTCATTGCTCAAGAGTTTCCACTTGTAGGGAAGTGTTGCGGTGCCTGGATTTTTACGAAAGTTGTGGCTAGTGCTCCGCGAGATTTGGTACCACTTGTCACGCGGAGTCATAAATCCTCACACCAAGTTCGTCCAACGCTGGAACAAGTTCTTTGTTCTGTCTTGTCTCACCAGCGTTTTCCTCGATCCACTATTTTTTTTCCTCCTCGCGGTAAAGCAGGTGAGCTTCTTGTTAGCTTTCGGCATCAGATCGGACAGACTTATTTGGAACTGTTCACTGTTTCATGGCAGTACCAAAAGTGCATTTACATCGACCAGAAAGCTTCCACTGTTTTGCTAATTTTGAGAAGTATCACTGACACGATTTATCTCATGCACATCCTCCTCCAGGTGACGGTTTTGTCTTTCCCTTTCCTTCTTTCAAGAAATTCAATTTCACGTGATTAGATCATCGCAGTTTCGGCTGGCGTATGTTGCTCCATCGGTTCATAAAATCGAGAGGCCAGAGAGGAGATTTTTGTCCGGCCGCGAAGTTTCCTTTGCAACTCGCGATCTTGTCGACAATCCCAGGAAAATAGCGTGGAAGTACTTGACGGGATGGTTTTTGCTGGATCTTTTGTCAACTTTGCCTCTTCCACAAGTAAGCTCAATTTTTTTTCTTGATTTTACGCTAAATCACTTCATGATCATCCAGATTATGATCAAACTTGTTGTGCCGCGTTACATGGGAGCAGCTGGTGCAAACTACTTCAAAAATGTGCTCCGCGTCACAATGCTACTCCAATGCGTCCCACGCATAATTAGAGTGCTGCCGTTTCTTTCAGGATATACTTCTATCGGTTTTATCTTTGAGACCGCTTGGGCGAACTTCGTCATCAATATTCTTCTCTACCTCCTTTCAGGCCACGTCGTTGGCTCTTGCTGGTACCTTTTCGGGTTGCAGGTATGGTTTTAGTACTTTACCAATCACAAGTATTTCAGGGTAACACTGTTTTCTACGTATGCAGAGAGTGAACCAATGTTTGCATAACGCTTGCAGAAATGCTACCAGTTCACGATGCATTGGAGACTTTCTAGACTGCGGCAATGGAACCCTGCAAGAACGTCTCATTGGAAATGCCGTCAGGAGCTTGTGGGTGAACAATGAAAACGCTACTCAGTGCTTTGACAGTCCATCTCGTGTCTTCACATACGGTATATATCAACCTGCTGTGCTGGTGACTACACATAATAACAGCTTTACCAGATATATTTTCTCCTTGGTTTGGGGGTTTCAGGTAAGTGGAAGTTGGAAGCTGTTGATAGATGTTGCTCGCTTCGTGATCAATGCAGCAAATCAGTACGTTAGCTGGAAACCAGATTCCGAGCCTGTTCATCTGGGAGGTCGTTTTTGTGATGACGGTCATTGGACTGGGCCTGCTACTGTTAACGTTGCTCATCGGCAACATGCAAAGCTTTCTACAGTCCCTCGGTCGCAGGTATCTTTAGACTTTCGCCTTGGTTCTAACTTCTGTTTTTTTTCTCAGATCCTTGGAAATGCAGTTAAAACGATACGAAGTTGAGAAATGGATGACCCGCCGTCATCTGCCTCCAAAATTGAGAAGGTATGACTGAATGTTTTTAGCTTCTCGTGAAATTTACTTTGTGTTCTTTCAAGGCGAGTGAGACAATTTGAGAGATTTCACTGGGCAGCAACCACCGGTGTCGGGGAAGAGGAGCTGTTGGAGGACTTACCGGAAGATCTGCACAGAGATATTCGCAGGCTGCTCTTCACAGATCTCGTGCAAAAGGTTTTTTCCGAGTCCATGATTGACAAACTTCACCATGGTTTTCTATTTTCCAGGTTCCTCTTCTAAGAGCCATGGGTGAGCACTCGCTCGACCAGATCTTCCAGCGCTTGCGTCAAAAGCTCTACATCGACGGCTGCGAGGTCGCGCGTCGTGGTGTTCACGTCCACCAGATGCTCATCATCGTCCGAGGAACGCTGCAAAGCAAAAACGAGGACGACTCTTACGCAATGCTGCGAGGCGGAGATATCTGCGGCGAAGAGCTGCTGACGATGTCTCTCTTCAACTCTCGCTTCTCCAAGCAAATCCGAGCCATCTCCACTAGAACAGTCGTGTGCCAAGGTAACGTCGAGGCCTTTTCCATCGGGAGGCAAGCTCTGGAAGAAGTGAGCCGGGACTTTAAGTTGCTACAAGATCCACAAGTGCAAAGAGCTATCAGGTACACAAGTTTTGTTCTTCCTCGAAGATTTTCTACAAGAAAATTCACGAGTCTTCTTTCTAGATGTGAATCGCACTTCCTGAGATCATGGGGAGCGGGGAAGATCCAAACGCTATGGAGATATAGAAAGAAGATGCGCGCAAACAAGAGGTGGCCTAGCGCAATATACAAGAAGGAATGAACGGCTGGATCATGATGTTTAGTCTGACGGCTGCGATTCGAGATGGATTTTCCCGCCCGGCGGTAAAACCCGCGTTTCAAGCGCACGCTATGGCTCCCAGATTTTCGCGACGTCCTCGATGATCTGCGCCATGAGGGGGAATTGCTACTGCTGCTCGCGCTCTATAAATCCTCTCCACTTGGCCGCCTCCTCAAGCGGATCCATCAATCCGGCTTCACAATGGCGGCGGCAGACTGGGCGAGGATGATCGATGTCGTTTTGGATGCTAGCAAGGTCCGCAAGCGAGCGGAGGAGGAGGAGAAGGAAGTGGCGGCCAAGGCGACGACATCGTCCGTGGTTCTGGCATGGCGAGACCTCACGGTCTCGGTTTCTTCCAGTCAGGGAGGGCAGGCGCGCAAGGTTCTTCACGGATTGACAGGCTATGCCGAGCCCGGGCGATTGCTGGCCGTGATGGGACCGTCCGGCTCCGGGAAATCGACGCTGCTCGACTCCCTCGCTGGTAATATCGTGTGCTTGCATCGATCTCTCTTGAAATTTCGGGAATCTTGCGTGATCTTGGCGTCACAGGGAGGCTTGCGAGGAATGCCGAGAGAGAAGGGAGCGTGTGGATCAACGGGCAGAAGCAAAAGGCCTCGTTTGGAACGGCTGTGAGTGATCTTAGTTTTCTTTCTTCTTGGGCCGATTTTTTTCTTTTTCTTTTTCTTTTTCGTGTAGGCTTATGTGACACAGGAAGATGTTTTGATCGGGACTCTCACAGTTAGAGAGACGATCTTCTACTCAGCGAAGCTGCGGCTGCCTGATGAGATGCCGCTGGCCGAGAAGATCGCCATGGTGGAGACGGCGATCTTGGAGATGGGGCTTAGCGAATGCGCCGACACTGTCATTGGGAATTGGCACTTGCGGGGGCTTAGCGGCGGTGAGAAGAGAAGGGTCAGATTGCTCTGGAGCTCCTTCTAAGGCCACATTTGTTGTTTCTGGACGAGCCCACGAGCGGTCTTGACAGGTATAGCATACACTTCGTGTTCTTCATGGAAAACTAAGTTGTCTCTTTCTTGACAATGTTTTTGACATTTGTTGTGTAGTGCTTCGGCGTTTTTCGTGACGAAGACTCTGCAGAAGCTAGCTAGAGATGGCCGCACGGTTTTGGCCTCGATTCACCAGCCCAGCAGCGAAGTTTTTGCACTCTTTGACGATCTCTTCCTCCTCGCGAACGGAAGGACTGTTTACTTTGGTGAATCTCGATCGGCTCACCAGGTACTGGCAACTTCTTCCAAGTTGATTGATCAGCTAAAGAACGCTTAAAACTTTCTTCAGTATTTCTCCGCAGCGGGATTTCCCTGCCCTCCGCTGCGCAATCCCTCGGACCATTTTCTACGAGCCATCAACTCGGACTTCGACAGAGTCAAGCAAACTCTCAAAGGATCTTACATCGATGACCAACTGGATTCCAGTGACCCTCTTAACAAAATCACGGCCACGGAAGTTGTGGCTATACTTTTGGATAGTTATCCGTTGTCGACTCAGGCAGTTTGGGCCGACTCCAAAGTAAACGAGTATACTTCTCTGGTAAGACTTCCCGTTCCTGGCAACTATTTGACTGATGGATGAGTTTGTTTGCAGAATGGTACTGTTTCAGAACCGAATGGAAGCCAGGCCAGCTTTCTTACACAGTCTTTGACTCTAACGTGCAGATCTTTCGTCAACATGACCCGAGACATTGGTTACTACTGGCTTCGGCTTGCGATCTACATGTTGCTGACTCTGTGCATCGGAACCATTTACTTCAAGGTGGGATCGACGTATGAATCCATCGCAGCAAGAGCCTCGTGTATGGCTTACGTTGCCGGTTTCCTCACTTTCATGTCGATTGGTGGCTTTCCGTCCTTCGTGGAAGATATGAAGGTGAGTTCGACGTACTGCGTTTTCTTCTTCGACTCAACCATGTCCATGTCCAGGTTTTTGCTCGAGAAAGATTGAATGGTCACTATGGAGTGGCAGCATTCGTGATTGCGAACACGCTGTCGTCGCTGCCGTTTCTGTTCCTCATATGCTTCGTCTCGGGATTCATTTGCTACTACATGGTCGGACTTAACCCGGGCTTCGACCACTTCATCTACTTCCTCCTCATTCTTTTCTGTAGCGTCTCGGTGGTGGAAAGCCTGATGATGGCAGTGGCGAGCGTCGTCCCCAACTTTCTCATGGGTATCATCACTGGAGCTGGAATCCAGGTAAACTCTCCGGACTAATATGAGTCTCAATGAAAAACTTGTGGTGTTTCCTTCCAGGGGTTTTTCATGCTTGTAGCCGGGTTCTTCCGCCTTCCCAACGAGATCCCAAAGGTTTTCTGGAAGTACCCGGTGTCCTACCTCAGCTTCCATATGTTCTCCCTCCAGGGGATGTACCAAAACGATTTCCTGGGCGTTGATTTCTCGAACAAGTTCCCAGCTCTGCCAACGATCCCCGGCCGCCTCATCCTGTCCGAGTTCTACCAAGTGAACATGCGGCGCTCCAAATGGGCCAACCTCGCCGTGGTTTTCAGCATGATCGTCATCTATAGGCTCTTCTTCTTCGCGATGATCAAAGCCGGCGAAGATCTGTGGCCGCGAGCCAGGAGACTCACTACCAGTCGCGCCTCTCTCTGGAGGATCAAGGCCATGGATCTCGTCACGAAGCTCTCGGAGATGCGGCGAAAGAGCAGCTCAATCGCCCACAGATCGAGCAGCGATGAATTTCTACCCCCGCCATCGCTGCTCTAAGACGCAGCAACTGTAAGGGCTTCAGCTGAAGCGGATTATATTCCCTACCCACGTGGAAGGGCATAAAGCATAGAATCTAAAGGTGCCCCTTTTATGGCGGGCTTGCATTTCAAACACTGGCCAATAGGAGGAAATCTAGATAGGTTTTATACTACACGCTCTCTCCGCTTTAGGAGTGATCTAGCTTAGGGCATCCAAGCAGCGGCGATGAGCGCCATGGACAAGGGCGCCACGGCGATGAATGTGGACGAGCAGCCACATGTCCAGCACGGACCATCGCTCGTGGAGCAGCTCCAGGTAAGTGTCGATCGATCGATCGGGCGGCGCTTATTCCAGAAATCTCCCTGTGCTGCAGCACTGTGGCATTTCCGCGGTGGATGTCAAGAAGCTCCGAGAGGCAGGGTTTTGTACCGTCGAAGCGGTGGCCTATTCGCCCAAGAAGGAGCTGCTCAAGATCAAAGGCATAAGCGAGGCTAAGGTCGACAAGATCACTGAAGCGGGTATGTACATTTTGGTTCTGTTTTGTTTTTTGTTTTTTTCTCATTGTTCTATGGAACTTGCGTAGCGACCAAGCTTGTTCCGATGGGATTCACAAGTGCGGCACAAATGCACGAGCAGCGATCCGAGATCATCCAAATAACATCGGGGTCCAAAGAACTCGATAAGATCCTGGAAGGGGGCATTGAGACGGGCTCCATAACGGAGATCTATGGAGAGTTTCGGACTGGAAAGACCCAGTTGTGTCACACGCTTTGTGTAACATGTCAGGTATGTATGGTCGTTTTGACATTATGGATCGCTGAGTTTTGTGTTTTCTTAAAAGCTGCCATTGGATCAAGGAGGCGGTGAAGGCAAAGCGTTGTACATAGATGCCGAAGGAACGTTCAGGCCACAGAGATTGTTGCAAATCGCCGAGAGGTTGGATCACGTCTTTCTTTCTTTTTCGTGATTCCGTATGATCGTTTCCTTTACATAGATATGGGCTGAATGGAGCAGATGTTTTGGACAATATTGCCTACGCGAGAGCATACAACACTGATCATCAATCACAGCTTCTGTTAGAGGCGGCGTCTATGATGGCTGAATCGAGGTAAGCATTTTCCTTGATAAGTTAAATACGAACACTCTCCTCGCAGGTTTGCCTTGATGATAGTAGACAGCGCGACTGCTCTGTATCGGACCGATTTTTCGGGACGCGGTGAACTATCTGCCAGACAAATGCACCTTGCTAGATTCTTAAGAAGCCTACAGAAACTGGCAGACGAGGTAAGCTCTCGATCGCTCTCTCGCTCGTTTGCTTTTAGATTTTAGAGTAACATTTCGCTTCACAGTTTGGAGTGGCGGTGGTCCTGACTAACCAAGTTGTGGCACAAGTCGACGGGTCTGCCGTTTTCGCTGGTCCGCAAGTCAAGCCCATCGGGGGCAACATAATCGCCCATGCCTCCACGACAAGGTACACGGGTGTTTGTCATTTCATTCTAGCTCTATTTCCTAAACTAATGCTCACTGTTTTCTTCACAGACTCGCATTGCGGAAGGGACGAGGGGAGGAACGGATATGCAAGATCGTTTGCTCACCATGCCTAGCAGAGCAAGAAGCTCGTTTCCAGATCTCTGGCGACGGCATCATTGATGTCACAGATTAATGCCCCACAGCATCATGAAACGCTTTCACGTTAAAATATATTCCATGGTTATTTTACTGAATACCACAGCGTACAGTAGAAGTAACCAACGTGCTTGATTATGTGTGTTTAATTAAGTTCAAAACACCTCGAGCACCACGCTAAGTATTTCTTTATGTGCTCCAATTTGAATATAAATAGGCTCCATGGCTCTTGCACAAGCACAGCAAGCGTACAACAATGTCTGCAAAATCGAATCTCGTTTCCTTCCTCGTTGCTGCAGTATGCATGCTAGCAGTGACCAATGCACAGCCAGAGGTAAAATTCTATATTTCCTTAGATATGCGATGAAGAGATTGTATGTGCTTGATTTCAATTACCAGGTGTGCGATTATACGTTGACGATTACAACAGGAAAATGGGGAACTGACGGAACAGTGGGTATATCAGTTTTCAACAACACATCTAGATTTGGCCCACAATTTCTAGATCTGGACAATCCGGGGGATGATTTCAAGCCTCATACCAAGGATGAGTATCATCGACAGGGCCCATGCTTGAGAAATATTTGTGGTTTCAAGCTCACCCTTAGGGATCCTTGGCCAAGAGAATGGGAGCCTCGTCGTGCATCTATTGTTTGCAAGAGCAATGGTGAAGAGATCTCAAGTTATGCATGTAGCTTTGGCCAATTTGGAGGATACCTGTCGACTCTGCTGATCGGACGAAAATCAGATAGTGTGTGGGTGAGTGACTGTGAACAGATGGCATGCAAGACAACGTATGAGAATCCCAAGTGGGACCAATGGTATATCTCTCGAGTGAATAGAATGTGTGCAAGCTTAAATAACTACTGTCTGATTGAATTTCTAATAAAAGTTCAGCATATGCACCTCACTCACCATGGACTAATGCATAATGCACTCCCCAATCCTGGAAGACAACATCTATCCACCTGAAACCTTTATTGAGGTCTAGTTTAGATTTGAAAGTTACGAGATGGGAGGGAGTTTGATTGATCGAGAGGGAACTGAACTTGTTCCTTCGTGTGCGAGGATATTGTAAAATTCGTTTCAAGCTAGCCACGACCGCGCAAATATACTGAAACTCCCAAGCTCCAAACCTTCATTTGTTTGCAGAGCTAACTCCACTCCAGCCGAAGCTGCCCGATGGCACTGCTCTCCTTTTGTAAGAGAGCTCACTTCTCTCCTTTTGTGCATAGGGTTTCCATGGATTACGTGTGGGTGAGGAAGGATGGAGAAGGCGAGGCGCTGCGCGTTCCTCTCCACGATTCGAAGCATCTGATGGTGGACAGCATTGCGGCACACTGGGGACTGGACGCCGCCACGCTCCGTGTGGGTCAGACCGCTCTCTTCAAGGACGCGAATGGGAATTCGGTGATGACGGTGGAGCAAATCGCTGCCAATTCCAATGGCCATGGCGATGGCCAGTCCCAGCAGAATCCCCTCGTCATCACGGGTAACAGGAATCGCCTCTCCCAGGAAGAAGCAGAGGCGGCATTGGCCAAGACGAAACTCGGGATTGGAATTGCGAGAGCTCGCGAGCAGCGGAAGGAAGCAGATCGCCGCATCGCTATCTCCAAGCTGTGGCATGATGCGCTGTGTAGAGAGTTCTACCACGGATCAGGGATGTATGCCTATTCCATGAAAGGCTTGGTTGGCGAGCCTCCGAGTGTGTTGGGAGAGGTGGTCGGCAGATTCGTCGGTACGGTACATGTAGCTCGCAAGACAGAAGCTCCCAGCGACAAGAACTGCAAGGGAATGGTGGCGCTTATCAGGCCAGATGGAAGCTGCATCACTGCTCTCCAATGCATCGAAGGGATGTTTAGTGGCAGTGGCAAGGTGGAAGAAAAGGTGATCGTGGTGAGCTTTCCACGCATCAAAGGAGGAGTTTTGTACGAGTGCAAGGTTGGTTCTCGTCTGTCTTCCTCGGTGGTGTGCCTGGAGCCGCAAGCCCACTGCTTGCAAGAATTTGAAGGGTGCTTGAAAATGGAAGTAATCAGTCTTCCATTGTTCCAGCGACTGTACACGTTTGGTGGCCACAAGTCTATGGATCTTATCAACGTCTTCTCGGTGGATCCAGAGGCTTTTCTGCCTGTGTCGGCTGTGCAAGACCTAGGTGCCCCCGTGTTTGCCGATGGAGGAAGCTTGATCGGTGTTGTTACGAACACGTTCCTTGGGAAGCTTGGTAGAGGAGACACGGACAGGAAGCGCAAGCTGCAATCTTTTCAAGGGCGGCATCTGGAATGCCAAAAGACTGCAGACTTGGACAAGGAGTTTGAGCATGCAAGGCTTTATCGCAATGTCTCGGAAGAGATGCATGACGTCTACTTATGTAAGTTTTCTCTTCTATTTTTGTGTTATTGGATTACTACATTCGCTTGCAGGGGCAAAAGCTGCCATCCATCTGAACCGGGTTGTGCAGTTTGCTCCAGTGACGTGGAAGACACCGATTGATGAATGGAAGGAAGCTCATCCAGTTGAAAGTAAGTAGAAAGTTTACATCTCGAAATCTAATATCTAAATCCATTTTCTAGGCTTCGAGAAGGATCTCCCTCAAGAGCTTCCAAGCAGGAGATCCAAGACCGGATCAGCTCCTAGAGCAAAAACCTGTGTACTTGTCTAGAGAAACAACTTAGTCTTCAGAAACAATGCTTATGCTACAAAGTCTAAGGCCTTCGTTTTCCAGCCTGCACCCCCTATTTTCCAGTTGCTCCACCACCCCGGAAGCCAAGAAGCTTCACCTTCTTGAGGCTTCCACAGTTGAGCAGCGGATTTCCAAAGCATTCCATGGAGACGTTCTTGAGGTGGACGAGCTTCATGTTTTGCATGCAGCCGATGTTCGCACTCGCTTGATGGCACCTTGCTCCTCCATGTGAGATTCTTGGTACCAATCCTACTTCTTGATAGGCAATTATCCTTACACTAAACTTAAACTTTCAACCACTGTGATTGGAGGACTAGAATTATAATAACATCTGATTTAATTTCAAGATAGGAAGTATTGTCCTATTGTGACTCAAAGTTGTTCATTACAAAAGAAAAGTAAGCATTGCTACACTAAGTCTCACTGGAAAACTTGGTCCAGGGCTTCGTGCTTGTTGGCTCTTCTTCCTATCCTAAAGGTTTTCTGGAACTAACCAGTGTCCTACCTAGCTCTGCCAAGTTTTACCAAGTGGACATGCAGCGTTCCAAATGGGCCAACCTCGCCGGGTTTCTCGTTTCTTCTTGGGGTAGAAATTCATCGCTGCGCTCTTTCATCTTCGAGACGAAGAAAACCAACTGTAAAGGCTTCAGCTGAAGGGCATAAAGCATAGCATCTGAAGGTGCCTCTTTTATGTCTCCGTGGGTGGACAGAGTGGGCGGGCGTGGGGCTCTACTCCTCTTTAGGGCATCCAAGCATCCAAGCAGCGGCGATGAGCGCCATGGTCAAGGGCCCCGCGGCGATGAATGTGGACGAGCAGCAGCATGTCCAGCACGGGCCATCGCTCGTGGAGCAGCTCCAGGTAAGTGAAATCCTAGAATTGTTAAAGGTTATTGTGTCTGTGTTGATGTCGATCGATCGCGCTTATTCCAGAAATCTCACTGTGGCATTTCCGCGGTGGATGTCAAGAAGCTCCCAGAGGCAGGGTTTTGTACCGTTGAAGCGGTGGCCTATTCGCCCAAGAAGGAGCTGCTCAAGATCAAAGGCATAAGCGAGGCTAAGGTCGACAAGATCACTGAAGCGGGTATGGACCTTTTGGTTTTGTTTTGTTTTTATTTTCTTCTCATTGTTCTATGGAACTTGCGTAGCGAAGCGACCAAGCTTGTTCCAATGGGATTTACAAGCGCCGCACAAATGCACGAGCAGCGATCGGAGATCATCCAACTAACATCGGGGTCCAAAGAACTCGACAAGATCCTCGAGGGGGGCAGAACTGAGATCTATGGAGAGTTTCGGACTGGAAAGACTCAGTTGTGTCATACGCTTTGTGTAGCATGTCAGGTATGTATCTTCGTTTTGACTTCATGGATCACTGAGTTTTGTGTCTATTTCATTAGATCATGGAGGTGGTGAAGGCAAAGCAGATGCTGAAGGCAAAGCAGATGCTGAAGGAACTTTCAGGCCACAGAGATTGTTGCAAATAGAGGTCGGATCACGTTTTCCTTTTTTTTTCGTGATTTCTTATGATTGTTTCATTTTCTGGATGATAGATATGGGCTGAATGGAGCAGATGTTTTGGACAATATTCCCTACGCGAAAGCATACAACACTGATCATCAATCACAGCTGCTGTTGGAGGCGGCGTCTATGATGGCTAAATCGAGGTAAGCATTTCCCTTGATATGTTAAGCACTCTTGGCCTTCTCCTCGCAGGTTTGCCTTTATGGTAGTAGACAGCGCGACTGCTCTGTATCGCACCGATTTTTCGGGACGCGGTGAACTATCTGCCAGACAAATGTACCTTGCTAGATTCTTAATAAGCCTACAGAAACTGGCAGACGAGGTAAGCTCTCGATCGCTCTCTCGCTTGCCTTAAAATTTTAGAGTAACATTTCGCTTCACAGTTTGGAGTGGCGGTGGTCCTGACTAACCAAGTTGTGGCACAAGTCGACGGGTCTGCCGTTTTCGCTGGTCCGCAAGTCAAGCCCATCGGGGGCAACATAATCGCCCATGCCTCCACGACAAGGTACACGGGTGTCTGTCACTTCATTCTAGCTCTATTCTCTAAACTAATACTCACTGCTTTCTTCACAGACTAGCATTGCAGTATGGACGAGGGGAGGAACGGATATGCAAGATCGTTTGCTCGCCATGCTTAGCAGAGCAAGAAGCTCGTTTCCAGATCTCTGGCAACGGCATCATTGATGTCACAGATTAATGCTCCACAGAAAGCTTCATAAGCTGCTAAACGCTTTCACGTTAAAATATATCCGATGGTTATTTTACCGAATACAACAGCGTACAGTAGAAGTAACCACTATAACGTGCTTGATTATGTCTGTTTAATTAAGTTCAAAACACGTTACGTATCCTCCAACTCTTTCACGTTAAAATATATTCCATGGTTATTTTACCGATTAATGAATACAACAGCGTAGAGTAGAAGTACTATAACGTGCTTGATTATGTCAACGTGGTGCTCGAGCACCACGCTAAGTATTTGATTATGTGCTCCAATTTGAATATATCCTTCCTCGTTGCTGCAGTATGCATACTATCTGAGAAAGCAGTGACCAATGCACAGTCAGAGGTTATGCGATGAATTGCTTGATTTCAATGACCAGGTGCGTTGACGATTACAACAGGAAAATGGGGAACTGACGGAACAGTGGACATATCAGTTTCAACAACACATCTGGAATTGGCCCACAATTTCTAGATCTGGACAATCCGGGGGATGATTTCAAGCCTCGTACCGATAATAAGTATCATCGACAAGGTCCATGCTTGAGAAATATCTGTGGTTTCAAGCTCACCCTTAAGGATTTTGGGCCAAGAGAAAGGGAGCCTCGTGGTGCGTTGATTGTTTGTGAGAGCAATGGTGAAGAGATATCAAGATATGCATGTAACTTTGGCGAATTTGGAGGATACCTGTTGACTGAGCTGATCGGATGAAAGTCAGATAGTGTGTGGGTGAGTTACTGTGAACAGATGGCATGCAAGACAATATGTGAGAATCCCAAGAGAAACTGATGGTATCTTGAGCTCAAGTGAATAGATTTTTTGCAATCTTAAATAATCATTGTCTGATTGAATTTCTAATAAAAGTTCAGCATATGCACCTCACTCACCATGGACTAATGCATAATGCGCTTGCCATTATGCATGAATCCTGGAAGACACCATCTATCCACCTGAAACCTTTATTGAAGTCTGGTTTAAATTTGAAGGGAGTATTGATTGAGAGTGAACTGAACTTGTGAGGCTATTGTAAAATTCTTTTCAAGTGAGCCAGGACTGTGCAAAAATATTGAAACTCCCAGATATGTAAAACATATCAATCACTGAAAAATCAAGCTAAGGATTTTATGTTTCTAAGTCTGTGGGAAGAGCTAACTCCAGCTGAAGCTTCCCGGTGGTTGGTGCACCCCAATAGCTTAATTTATTATTTTGTTTGCTAAAAATATATCAACTGGATTTTTCTTTCCCTAAAATCTTTAGTTTATGTGAATTATTTTAACAGTTTTTATTGACTCTAAACGTTTTCACTTGATTTTCTAACTAGAAAATATGGTTATTTATTGCTACTTTATTAAAACAAATTATAATTTGAACACTAAAGCTTTATTTTGCATGGGATTAGTGTTATATTCATGAACAGGGTCAAATTATTTGTAGATGGGATAATTGTTTCTAATAGGTGTATGTGAGATTGATTTACTACATGATTTGTGTCAATCAAAAGAAAATTCTAATTTATTGTATAAGTAACTATCAGTATCACTTGCCAAAGAATTGATCTTGATATGCATAAATATTTCCATTCTTGGTTATTGGCTATCAAAGAACATTGATTTCTAAGTACTTTTTAAATTTAATAGATTTTAAGAAAAACTAAAGTTTTAAAGATCTTGCTCTATTGGACATCCCATTTACAAATGAAATTATTAATAACATGCATATTCTTAAATGAAGTAAATACTTTCTTTCTTCAGATTTAATATTTTTATAAAGGTTTATGAATAAAATGGTGTCAATTGAAAAGAAGCTACCTTGAACATACAAAAACATAAGGTGAATAACAAAATCTAAAATAAGAAAAAATTATGTTTTTTAGAGGCTTTTTAATCAATAAGATTGTTTATTCAAATATTATCATATTTTTAAAAAATTACAGTAACAGTAAATAAAAAAAACTATAATAATGAAAAAAATGCCATATTTGGCTCTAACAACTTTAAAAAATAATTAAACTTATAATCAATTGAAAAAGAGAAATATCAATCAAAGGAAGGATGTGGTTAAAAGATATAAATTGATCAATGAAGAATGTAGTCTTTATTTTGAAAAATTTAAATTTAGTTATTGCTACTTTAAACTTTCTTTAATTATTTAACTATAAACATAACTATTCATTATCATTAATATAAACTATCCAATTGAAAGTTTAATATAAAGTAATTTTTAAAAAACTATTAACGTCATTGACTTTATGGGATCACTATTACCAAATGGTCAAATATTTCAACAAGTTGAAATATTATAATTTAGTGAAAAATTAGACATAATTATTATTTAATTTAAAATCACTAGTCATGCTAGCAATATTTATCTTAAAATTATGCATGGTGAAAAGATCATTATACCTAGTAAAAAAAAAATTAATAAGTGCACTTGAGTCGAATGAATATATAAACCAATGTATAAAAAAATTAAATAACTGCATTTAGAGTTATATAAATAAACAAACTAATGTATAAAATAAAATCGTTGCTTTCATTATATATTTTATTGAAAGCATAATTTACTAGGTATAATTTTGTTTTCTTCTATCTAAAATAAACTCAACAAAAAATAGGTTTTAAAAGTTTGGCAGTTTAAAAACAAGTAGAATATACTTTTATATTCTTTGTAGAATAGATTTTACGTGAAAATTCTTCAAGAAATGTTATTAAATTTGTGAGGAGTTAAAAAATATTTTAAAAATGGAGATACCTTTTTTAAATTTTTCTAAAATAAGTATTTTAAAAATTTATAAGTTCATGATAAAGTACTTTTTTTTCTATTATATGCACTTCTACCTTCATTAAAATAAAAATCTATTTCAATAGTAAGATTATGAAAGTTTTAATTATAACAATATATTCACTAAAAAAGAATGGCTCTAATTTAATTAAAAAGATGGAATGACAATTAAATGATAATACACATACATAACATTAATTAAATGAAAAAGGATTATATTTTTTTAGTTATTATTTAGGTTAAACTGATGTTTTGGGAGAATTGGCTTTTTTTATCAAAAATATATATAAAAGTTCATGTTAAAGGTTTTTAGCAATATTGTGAAGAGATTAAAGCCAAAATATCACTTAATAAGCTAAAAAAGAAAATATTAAAATGATAATTATCAACTCTATATATTTCTTTTATCTTTGCTTTATATTATTAATCTCTTTTTTATTATTTAAGAAGAACTCCTAAACAGTCATAGAAAAAATAAAAAGTAGTTAATAGGTTGAAAAATATTATCTCAAAGGTAGGTGTTAAGGATTATTACTTATATTTGCATTAAAATGGTTGGATGAGGCTAAATTTCCACAATTTGCTAAAGTTTGTATCAGGTAAATTTTGACAATTATAAATATGAAAATTTTAAACCTTTAAATAATGGATTACTCACTCTCTTTTATAAAATGTAGTGTTATGTTTCTTTATATATTCTTTGTAAACTTTAATTAAATATTTATACATTATTTAAAAAATTATATATTTTCATTATATGCTATTATGTTATAAGCAATAATCTCAAGAATAATGGGGAAGCTTTATAACTAACTTTAAACTTTAAGGAAGAAAATATATGTATTACATATTTTCCATGTTTTAATGTAAAGGGGGATTTGAAACTGTAAGCAATCAAGTTTTATGTAATTCATGAATTTTAAGATCTAGATGTTGCAATTTTACAACTCAAAAGTTTCAATAATAAAATATATATGCTACCAATTTTGATTCCTATGTAGAAAAAATTGGGAAAAAATTAAAAATCAGAAGAAAATAACATAAAATTGATCCTCTTATATTCTAATATAATATTTAAAATCCACGAATTATGATGATACCTCTTCTTGTTTTGATCTTTGCTATCACTAACTCATAAAAAAAAATTATGTTTTTAGTGATTATTTGAGTTAAACTAAAATTTTACGAGTATTGATTTTTTATAAAATTTTTTTCAAGATTAGTTATAGGAGTTTATGTTGAAATTTTTTAGCAAAATTCTAGAGATATTGAATACATATGTATTACATATTTTCCATGTTTTAATGTAAAAGGGGATTTGAAATTGTAAGCATTCAAGTTTTATGTAATTCATGAATTTGAAGATCTAGATGTTGCAATTTTACAACTCAAAATTTTCAATAATAAAATATATATGCTACAACCTTTGATTCCTATGTAGAAAAAATTGGGAAAAAGTTAAAAATCAGAAGAAAATAACATAAAATTGATCCTCTTATATTTTAATATAATATTGAAAATCCACGAATTATGATGATACCTCTTCTTGTTTTGATCTTTGCTATCACTAACTCATAGAAAAAATTATGTTTTTAGTGACTATTTGTGTTAAATTAATATTTTACGAGTATTGATTTTTTATAATTGTTTTTTCAAGATTAGTTATAGGAGTTCATGTTGAAATTTTTTAGCAAAATTTTAAAGATATTGAATACATATGTATTACATATTTTCCATGTTTTAATGTAAAAGGGGATTTGAAATTGTAAGCATTCAAGTTTTATGTAATTCATGAATTTGAAGATCTAGATGTTGCAATTTTACAACTCAAAAGTTTCAATAATAAAATATATATGCTACCAATTTTGATTCCTATATAGAAAAAATTGGGAAAAAGTTAAAAATCATAAGAAAATAACATAAAATTGATCCTCTTATATTCTAATATAATATTTAAAATCCACGAATTATGATGATACCTCTTCTTGTTTTGATCTTTGCTATCACTAACTCATAAAAAAAAATTATGTTTTTAGTGATTATTTGAGTTAACCTAAAATTTTACGAGTATTGATTTTTTTTAAATTTTTTTTCAAAATTAGTTATAGGAGTTCATGTTGAAATTTTTTAGCAAAATTCTAGAGATATTGAAGACATATGTATTACATATTTTCCATGTTATAATGTAAAAGGGGATTTGAAATTGTAAGCATTCAAGTTTTATGTAGTTCAGAAATTTGAAGATCTAGATGTTGCAATTTTACAACTCAAAAGTTTCAATA